TAGTTATTATAAATACAAACAATTTTCTTAGCTCAAGGTTTTGCAGATAAACCAAAATATGATTTAGACCAATCCTGTTCTGAAGACATATCATCGGAAAGATTCAGCCCTGTCGTTTGTTTTGCCTTATTATTTAAAGCATTAGGTGAAAAATCAGTCGTAAGCGTAAAGCTTTTAGTACTTCCTTCTTCTGTAGGACTTGATCGCAACGTGTTATCATATTCAACGTTCGTTGTAGTGCTATAATTGTTAGGTGAACTTATTTTATGTAATGTCGAAAGGCGAAATCCTTGGCGAAAGATAAAGCCTCGCACGAAAGAGGAAACTTCCGAAACTCTATTAAAAGACGAAATCCTAAGAAAGGTAAAGAAGTTTATAGTGTAATCCTTATTCTACGTTGAAACCTCTGCAGTAAAAAATAATAAGCACAGAAGAAAGCAAGACCTTGAAATTCGTGACACAGGTATCATAATATGATGTTAGGCGAAGCTATTTTATGTAATGCTGAATTACGAAATTTTATCGATTTAAATAAGCGATTTGGGTCTATTTTAATTTACGCGTCGGGGTAAAAATTTTTGGGGTCAGTGATTCAGGAGCAAAAATACTATTCTTGATGGATCTGCAATACCATTCCTGATAGGATTAAAAAAAATAAAAATCATGTACTGTTTTTATAAGGGCCTTATACCGTTCCTGATACTGCTCTAAAAAAAAACTATAACCCGAATTATCGCGATATCATGTGAGTTTATGTAGTACTTGTCAATATATGATCTACATACTGCATAAATTGCATTCTTGATATTTATATAATCCACAAACTCTAACTGCATCAAAAAGGTAGCTCTAAAACCTGCTTTACTTTAACTGACCCACAAATAAGAAAATAAAAATTCTGATCATGCATATCATTTTAGCTAATCATAAAACAGTTACACAAATATCATATGTCAATTAGCCAATCAAATCATAAATTCAAAAAAAATCAAAATTTGTAAAAAATAAGTGAAGTTGAATTGTAAATTATATTCAAAGCTCAAATTAATCTCATTAAATAATATCATAGAGTAAGTAAAAATATCTTTAATAGCTTGGATCATATATTGTGAGCCCGAAGGATAAACACGAAGCTCGGAAACATGATAGTAATCACGTTAAAAATTCAAAATCTGCAAAATATGCAATTTATTGCATATTATCACTGGAAACGATGATCGGATCTTAAATAATAGAAATCAGATCAAAGGGGTTATATGTCAGGTATAAGATTTTATTAAACATCATTAGATATATTAGAGATATAGGGTTTTATTAAATAATAGATGTAATAAGGAATAATAGATGTAATAAGGCATAATAGATGTAATAAGGCACTCGTAGGGAGGCCAAAATAATATTATAAATAAAGGCCGAAATGGCCCTAGTTGAGGGACAAGTTCCTAAGTTCCCAACTTCGCTTTAAACAATAATAATCTGACCCAATAAATTATAATAACATAATAATAATTCGCTAAACCCCCTAACCACTAAAATACCTAACCCGAGTTTGTTACTAAGTGGCATAGTGATAAACTTTGTCTCTCTATAAACCCT